AACAGAGTAACGCTGTGTGTTTCTAAGCATTTCAGGGGACCTTTAAACATAATGGGAGTTTTGGTGAAAATGCAGAAATCAAATCACTGATAGACTCGCATTGATCTTGAAGTAAGGGGCGGGTCGAGGAGAATTGTGACGTCACAATGCTCACGATTACAAATCTGGGCATTTCAGAATGCTACAAAAGAATAATTCACATTTTAAACTGCAGAGTTAGTTTTGAGTTTTGTAACGTGCAGTATGTTTTTGTTGCAGAGTAACCTCTCGTATGTGTAAATATCAAGAGCATTTTGATTCTCCATTTCATGCCCCTTTTAATAAATTCCAGCATTTGATTTTTAAGGACATTTTTATTCACTTTTGTATGATAAACAGTCCTGGAACTGTGTTTGGTTGCCACTAGATAGCCAAAGTGAGATCAGGTCCTGAATCAAAATCAGCTGTAAATCCTCATCCTCACTGATCCTACTGTGACTATCTACGTTTTTTTTCCCAATAACTTCTTTGAGTGAAATGTTTTCTTTGTGTGCATGTGATTGTCTCATTTCACACCCCATCAGCCTTCTTTCCATCTTTCTTTAAATAAACGGGCCATGTTTCTGTCAATCTATCGGCATTGTCTCTTTCTCTTCCTCTCTCTCTCTCTCTCTCTCTCTCTGTGATGTGTACTGTTAGATTGATTCTGTGCTCCTGTCCCTTTAATGTCATTTAAGTCTGTGGGCGCTATTTTCCCTCTGCCAAAAGCTCGCCTTAGAACCTGATGAGGTATCCACAATAATATAAAAAAGAAAGGAGCAATTTCCTGCAGTAACCATTGTGAACACTTTACAGCATGATGCGGGTGCTTGCTTTAGCCCTATGGGGGTTGCGGTCTCCATTCTAATGATTAAAGCAGGAACACAAGCCTGCGAGGCTATTTACAATATTACACACGCAAGTTCAGAGTGTGGCCAACACTGTGGCAAATCCCTCAGTCTAATAGCACATGCATATTGAAATGTACATTTTTTTTCTCATTGAAAGTTTGGATGTGGTTGAAGGAAAAAAACAGTGAAAAATTGCCCATAAATCACATTTTACTGAGTGCCAGAAGCCTCTTTCCGGTGCAGTGCATTTTTGGTAGTTCCTAATTAATTGAGGAATGTATAGCGCTGTTAGATCAAGCACAAAGCAAAATCAGCAGCCCTTTTGCTCTGTGGCTAATGCAGTTCAAACACTGGAAAAGGTTTCATGAAAACAAGAAATAAAAGACAAGCGTTGGAGATGAGAGGTAAGAGGGAGAGAGAAAGAGAGAAACATGATGGAGTGAACAAGGAAGTTAAACGAGGAGGGGCAGACGTTATGTGCAAATAGAAAAAAATAGCTCGCTAAAAGGTTGACCAAGCCGGAGGAAAAGATGGAGTAGAGTAAATTGAAAAAGAAATGGTCCATAAAGGTGAAGAGATGAGGCTTGTAGAGATTTAGTGGAGAGGCCTGAAGATTTCACTCCAGCTAACAGGCCTGAGGGAGGAGGGGGTGACAAATGCCTTTTCAGTGTATTTTGTGTTTCTTTGTGATGTGCTTTTGCTGTGAAGGTTGCATTCATTGAGTGGAGTCTTCTTTGGATTGGTCCAATTCATACTGTACAGTGTTTGTTAATTTGATGAGTTTACATTGGCGTGAAATAATAAATTATACCTTCATTGTAAAGTAATATATACTGTATACACACAATAAACAAGATATTACATTGTGTGATGATCGATTAATATTTTATGCTTATGAAGCAAATTCAGGAACTTTTTTTTTTAAGATTTAGCATTATTAAAGGTGTCATAAATCAACCCCAAACACAGCTAATAATAGAAGATAAATCTGAAAAGCTAATCTTGTTTCTGAATTTGCTTAGGAAGCAATACTCACCAGTGACATGAATAAACCCAAAACCCTAAGTATTAAACTGCAGCATGGAACTTATTCTGCTAGAAATTATGTAGCAAACTGCTAAATTAGACAACCATTCAAAAGTTTGGGGTCAGTTAGATTAAAAAAAAAATATCTTATGCTCACCAAGGCTGCATTTATTTTGTCAAAATACACTAAAAACATGTAATCTTGTGATATATGATTAATTTAAATTCATTTTATATTTTAATATATTTTATAATGTATTTTATTCCTGTGATGGCAAAGTGTTTTCAGCAGTCATTACTCCAGTCTTCAGTGTCACATGATCCTTCAAAAATCATCCTAATATACTGATTTGGTGCTCAAGAAACATTACGTATTATCAATTTTGAAAACAGTTCAACTGTGTCATTTGTGTTTTTTTTTTCTCAGAATTCTTTAATGAATAGAAAGTTCAAAAGTACAGTTTATTTGAAACGGATATCTTTTGTAACAATAGAAATGCCTTTCTGAGTAAACAGCTGAGTAATTTCCTTCAGAATAAAAATCTTACTGACACTCAAACTAGTGTATGTCCTAGCATTGTGATAGCAATTTTCCCACAGTTAAGCACCTAATTTAAAAAAAATCTAATTTTGTGTATTATTGTAATTACTTGTCTGCTGATAAATATTAGCCTTAACATATGCTTCCTCACGTGGTTCGAGCGCATCAGTATCATGGTGATCCTGCTGAACTGCGTCACTCTGGGGATGTACCAGCCGTGCGAGAACATCGACTGCACCTCAGAGCGCTGTCAGATTCTACAGGTCAGTGTGGACACTTAAACACGCAAACTAACTCTGTTCCAAAACATACTGCGCAACCTATTAAGGCAGCATCCTAAATGTCATAGAGCAAATGGTCTGTCATTCCTCACCCAAAACATAAGACTAAATTAATTCTGTTTCTCAATATCTCTTCTCAAGTCTTTGATTAAACAGCCCATTTGATGTGGTCTCGTTTTATGGTGCCTTTATGACCTTTGTGGATCTTCTAATTTTTGGTTACCTGGACTTTCAGTGCATGGAAACCTCTAAGGTTTCATTAAAATTATCTTAATTTAATTAACCAAAAGTCTTAACTGACATAAGGGTGAGGAAATTATGATAGATTTGTCTTTTTTTGGGGTGAACTATACCTAGTGCATATTACCGCCCTAAGGTACAATTATATATACCTTTTATGAGTAGATAAAGTACACAGTTGTCCATTTGAGGGTGCTGCCCCAATGACAAGCTTTGTACCCTTACAAAAAGGTACAATTTGCAAAAAAATTCCCCGACAGTACAGTATAAAAGTTTCTTCTCCGCAAAGCATACATGAACGATGAATGATATTTCCAAAACTGAAATATTTGAAGCATAATTAAAATTTACAAAGTTACCTTTTTGAATAGCCATCACAGCAGGAGCAAACCTAAGATGCCTTAAAGTGCTGCCTTCATAGGAAGCTCAGTAGGTTTTGGAACAGAGAATCTGTATTTGTCTCTTTTCAGATATATAAATAAACTTGATGCAACAGACCAGCCCTGAATGTTGTTAATGTGCCTTGTCAAAATGCAATTTTTTATTTTATGTCAGTTACAGAGAGTTTAAGGATCATACACAGATTCCCAGCCCATCTTGTCTCAAGACACAGTCTTCCTCCTTTCTTTCCCTTCATTTATTATCATCATCCCTTTTCGGCTCTCTCTTACTCTAAGAGGTTGACGAAGCGGACAGAACTCCTTGGGAGCTTTGGGGACGTTTTTATGTGTCCTCTAAACTCTCCATGCATCCACTGTCCCAGGAGTCCTGCTGTGTTCATTAGCTTGCCCGGATGTGATGGCTGGGTCCAGGGAGTCTGTTCAGAGACCTCACATAAAAACGTATATGATCGTTGTGTGTTAGAAAAATCATTGCCTATGTCTCTGCTCCAGTTCGGCTTTCATGGCACAGCTTGAACATGAACACGAGGGATTAGCTCACCTTAAAAACTCATAATTTACTCACTCATGTTCTTCCACCTGTATGACTTTCTTTCTTCTGTGGAGCACAAAAGGAAATACAGTATTTGAAATGATGCAGTTGGTGATGATCATTCTTTTCCATGTAGTTACACTGAAGGTAGACTAGGTCTTTCATGCTTTAAAAAGGACACAAAACACCATAAAAGTATGATAAAAGGGGGTCAATATGACAGCTATATTATGACACTATATTCCTAATCTTCTGCTGAAGTCTAAATTTAAGGTATTCACTGAAAATCTTATTCACTGAAAATCTTGACATCTACTTAACTTACATTTGCAAGTTCATGACAGCAATGTCAGAATCATGAACAAATTCATGATTTGTTTGAGTCAGTATTGAGTTTTTAGACATCTACTTAACTTACATTTGCAAGTTCATGACAGCAATGTCAGAGTCATGAACAAATTCATGATTTGTTTGAGTCAGTATTGAGTTTTTATTTATTTATTATTTTCTTTTTTTCACAAAACTAAATGACTCTGAGTGTGTTTCAGGGTGTTTGTCGTTCAAATGTGGCTTAAGAGGACTTTGAAAATAGAACACATGTTGTATAAACCACTTTTATGGTTTCTGCTTTTTAAAACAATTCATTGTAATTGGAGGGAAAAGAGCAAGCAGTACAATTCTTCCAAATATTTTCTTTTGTGTTCCGTGGAAGAAAGTCATTCATATGGGTTTGGAGCAACATGAAACTAAATAAATGTAAAAGTAAATGATGACTTTCATATTCAGATATCCGTTGAAATAGTAGTAGTATTTTCCCCACACTTTTTTCATAATATTCACCAATGTATGCATGACTGTAAGTCACAAATGTAAGTCATCTTATAGGCTTTTAGTCCAAGAGATAAGTTATCGAGAATGACTAGGCATAATGACTAGGCTTTCCGCCAAATTGAATGAGTTTTATAGCAATTCCCAATCACTTTCCACAGTGCATATCCCAATTAAGAAATAATGCTGACTTTGATCTTACCTCATATCTCAGGCTTACCTGTGAAAGTGGCTTACGTTACGGTGGGCCAGAGCCATCAGACGTCAGTTTTACCTTCACATAGGTGCCGCTGAAATGGAGCGAGAGCCATGACTCAATGTTTTATCAGTCAAGATGGCTAACAGTATTCCCTCAGTGAGCTCTCGCTGTTCAGAGCTTTACTTTCATTGTGTAAAAAGAGTTTTGAAGAGAGAAATGCAAATTAAGAAGGTCTGCAATGCGATATTTCTCACATTAGCTTTTTGGATTGACTGCAAAACAAAAAGACGGGGTTGAAATGAAAACTGTGTGGGCAGGAACGAAAGTCTGTCTCTCTCCTGCTTGCTGTGTGTGTACGGACTTGTATAGAGAGCCATATGTCAGGTATGGCGCGTGGAAGAAGGTAGCTTTAGAGGAAGCGTCCTCTTGGCACCATGAGGTTTGCATCCTCTGGTCTCACAGGGGATCTTAAACCAGTGCTGTTCTGCTCGCCCGCACCGGCCGGTTTCAAACTCTCCGTTTCTCGTGTGGGCGGCCATCCAAATTGGCATCGCTGCCCAACGGCCCCCTCCCTGTATCACACATAAACACGCTGTAGTGTGAAACAAAACCTGTATCAATTCTACTTTGGACATGCAAAGTGACTAAGACTAAGGGGCACAACGTAACAGACGTTCTATTTTCTGCATGCGTGTGCAAGAAAATTACACTTCTCATATCGTTAAATTATTCCTGCAGGGTTGAACTTAAAAACTGAACGAGTGACCAACATGAGAGCAGAAAGAAAGCCAATGATGAGGGTGATCGCGGCTTAACTGGTCTGTGTAATCAGTCACTCGAAATTCCAGCTATATCTGTGGCGCCGTAATGAGAATGCAGCAGGGCTTTGACAGCGACAATCACGCGTCGGAGTATTTGTAAGGAGCTAATTAACAGCCCTCTTTAAGTCTGTGTACTCACGCGACTCAATTGTTTATGAAAGAAATGCTTTCTGCCAAATGGATCATCTGCTTTGATCGTCAGTCATCTCAGCGACGGTTGGGAAATGAGATCCAGGGTGGGTCGTCCAGGGTCAGGTGAAGTAAGGGTGAACAAGCTGGGTGCTGACTGGACTTCATGGTTTCTTTTCAGGCTCATTCAGCTTTTGACTTCTGTCAAGATCTCATTAGCTCTCATTGGCAGTCAGATACTGTACATTAGAAAAAAACGATGCCGTGCAACACATTGTAAGTATTTTGGTTACTTAGTCCTTCACAGAGCAAATTTGAATGCTCAGAAGTTATATCTGCAGAGCATACAGTTCTGTAAATTAAAATAATTATGGCGTGTCTGTCTCTGTTGTTATGTAATTGTTTATCTATCTATCTATCTATCTATCTATCTATCTATCTGTCTGTCTGTCTGTCTGTCTGTCTTTCTATATTTCTGTTATTCTGTCGCTCTATCTATCGTTACATCTGTCAATCAGTGACTTTTTTGAACATCTTTTTTCCTGAAAAACACCAGCCTTTGCAATCAGCCAGCAAGTGAAAGACCTAATCTAATGCTGGATCTGTTTTCCAAAAAAGTATTTTATTATTTCTTATTTTTATTCAAATTATTAATTATTTGTTTATCATTATTTTTAAGAATTTATTTAAACTTCAACAACTTGGCTTTACAACTTTAAAAAGTATATTGAGAATCTGTGGTATTGGGGGGAGGGGCATTCTCATTCTAGAGAGCATCTGATTTGATGAATCTGTGATGTGTTTGCCAATTTTTGGGAGCACATTATAGTGATAGTCTCAAAGCCATAAAACATTAGATTTAAAATGTTATCAGCTCCGTTAAAACATACGCTGTGTTATACATGTGTCCTCTCTATCTTTTAGGCATTCGATGCATTTATCTATATTTTCTTTGCACTGGAGATGGTGGTGAAGATGGTGGCTCTGGGGATCTTTGGCCATCGCTGTTATCTTGGCGATACTTGGAACAGACTGGACTTTTTCATTGTCATGGCAGGGTAAGGGCACTTCTGTTTTCTTTCAACCTTTCCTGACACACCATTCATTCTAGCTGCAGGTGAATCGGGGGCTGTGGTGACCCTGAGTGGGTTTATCTTTTTTTTCTCAGTAGAGATGACTGCATTCTATGACCTGTATTAATAGACATTTCATATCAGTTGTTCTGGGAAATTGGCTTGTGTATAATATGACATGTTTACATGTTTAGCTCCAGAATGCCCTTGATGGGGTTTTCAAGTATTCTGTTGTATGCCCAGACCAAACACTTCAGCTACAGTCCTTTGGATCTCACTTATGTTGAGTACAAGCATCCCACATGTTGTTTTGATGCTGTTTTCAAGATCTCCCAGTTTTCAGTGCTAAAAAGAGAAGTTAAAACTGCTATACGCCTATTAATTTACCAAACCTTTCTGGACATTTCTTTGAGGAGGACATCAGAACAGAAAGGAGAAGCATTGGATCAACAGGACAGACCTGCAAGAAAAACATGTTGTAATTTTTTATACACACACCTAGTCTCTGTCACTGACAGACTTTCCTCACTAGCTCACAGGAAACAAACTCTCATAAGTTAAAAGGCTGAACAAATTGGAACACAGCCGTAATGTGATACAGGTTGTTAATTTTGTATACTACCTTAATTGGCCACGAGCAATGTGTCCCAAAACAATTTTTTTTCTCTTCATAGAACACTTTAATCTTTCCTCTCTACCTTTGCATGCTAATTTAATTAGACAACCAAATGTCTGTTTAAGTACTGTAGGGTAGTACAGGGTTTGTAAAATTGAGCAGCCCAATCCCAGGTTCTTCTCAGGTCCGGCAGGATTTGCGGAGTGAAAAATTAGACTCATTATGACATGATGGGCATTTATGTGGCCTTCTGTAATAAGAGACATTAGTCTCTCCCATACTTGTCCTTCTGGTATAAAACAACTTTGTCATGCACACATATTGGTGTGAGTAGTTTTGTGATTTGTGGTTAATTCCCACTTTTTTGACAATTTGCACTTGTTGATATTGTCAGTTAAAGCAACTTAAGGTCGTTTTCTTGGCTCCCAGCCTGGCCAAACTAGTTATATACCAATCTATTCTGAGGGTTTTAGAGGGATGTTGAGGGCTTGTTAGCTGGTCTGGTTGGGAGACCAGATGGTTGACCAGTTAAACCAGCTTAACACCAGCCTTAGCAAAGCTGGAAGACCAGCTGTAACCTGCTAAAACCTTCAAATATATATATTTTTTTCAGTGAGGTTCAGGACACCTAGTTCCTCTTCAGGAACTCGAGCTGCGTCGGAAACGCTAGGGGAACGCCTTCTGTGACCACGCTCTGAATATGGATCTGCTTCCTAATCACCAGATCTGGTGCCCGCTCTCGGGGTTTCGGAAGCCCACGCTGCGGTCCTTCCCACCGGAGAGAGGGCGCGACGCTCCGCCTGTCTTTCTCCGAGGAGATTGATACGGAGGGCGTCAATGAGCTCGCCGGTTGCACAAACATCAGTTACACAAGAATATTATGCCTGATATTATAATGAGCAGCATTAATAGGGAGCGGAGCTCGTGCAGTCGGCTCTCGGGGGGCGGATTGTGTTTTTTCCGCTGTTAAGCGCTCCGCTCTCAGTTCTTCCCCCTCTGAGTGAGTGCTGCGGCCCTCTTTCTCCGAGGAGATTGATGTTGTTTGTGTGACTGAGTGGCTCGCGCGGAGCGCATATTACATCATTTCGGTTTTTGATGTGAATCTTACTACACTAGACCGTATTTACTCATCTGGTTGTTTGATTGCATTTAATTCTGAGGAATAAAATGAAGTATTTGTCTGACTATGAGAAGTTAGATATACAGGGGCTCTTGGGATATAAATTTCTCGAGTGAGAGCACGCATTAACCTCTCTTCCTCTGAGGAGGTTGAGGCGGTTAGCAGGGGCTGCTGGGCGGAGCAGTCCCAACCTTCTCGCTGGACGTCGTAAATGTCCTGACGCCTAAAGCCTAGTATTTTTGAGGGCCAGCTCCCTCTGGGGACTGGGGAA